AAACAAGTTTTATGAAAAATTAATAAATGAACTATTTTGTGACTCTGGCTCGTGATCGTCTTATCAACATTTGGACCTCTACGTTGTGTTTACTTACGTGTTTTATTAAATACATTGCTTTAAGAATCATACTTGGGAGACTTAGGTATACAAAAAATAAAATACAGTGTTTTGTTTACCCCAATTTAATTTACTTTACAAACAAAAAAAACACAAGGGGTGGCTCTTAGGGAGATACGACCAGGGAAAAAGAGCTTGAGAAAAAACCCTGTTCGGCTATGAAGTAGCAAAGGATTACACGATTAGGCATGGTTTCTTAAAAAGTTTATGCAAATCAAATGGAATGACACGACGTTCGTTACACTATCTACCCCTACGGGTTCAAAAAAATAGGAAAAACTTTGTTAGTTTAACAGGGCAGTTAACTGCTAGTCTGTCAACGTTAACGTTGCCCTGTGGAGAACGAGGTCCGCACTGGAAACAACTCGCGTAAAGATGCAGTTTCGGGGTAAAAGTTGCGATGCCACCTAGAGAACCTAGGTGACCAGTTACCCCTCACGGAGGAGAGTATTTTAGTATCTACTGCAAACTACGTACTAAGAAAAAGGAGCATTCAAAGTTTAAAATTAACGGTCAATACTCCCTTTTAAGCAACGAAACGTCCTGTATTACACTGATATTTGTTTTAAAATTACCGCAAAAATATGCATAATCGTGTTGAGGAAGGGTCTAAACATTTGAGTAGTATACAACTAAATTAAGCCTAAGACAATAAACGAAAGGAATATAAATTTTTACATTTAGCAGTAAACTTAAAAGGTAAAACATTCTATAAAAATAGCTAAAACAAAAGGTGTTAATAACGAGTAAAATTCACTAAACGTAGTAGTGCAAAATAACTAATGCTCAGTTTATTTAAATCAAAATCGTTCTACGTTTAGTGGACTTTACTACATAATTGGGCTACTAAAATTATGAACTAACCTGGGAGAATACACGAACACTCGTAACAATTGTTTACACAGAATTTTACAATAATTATGGTTTTAGCAAAGATTCACGAAAACGATCCGTTCTCTAAGACTTCGGAAAACTTTCTGCCCCTTTCTTTTGCTCCCCTCTACCAGTTTGAATTCGGTACACAACTTCAACATAAATAGTTACATTTATGAGACCAACAAAACAAAAAACAATTGTCAAATAATCAAAATAGGGGGGGTCCAGTACTCACTGACTCCCCCTATTTTTAGTACGTGCGCCAATGACTTCCAAACGGTATTTTTTCAGGTAACCATTTATTGTTGAAAATTTTTTGTCTCTTATAAAATTTTGATAAATTGATTTGTTTTAGAGATAATTTGTAAAGTATGGGTCAATCCATATCAAATTTATGAAATTTAATTTTTTTTTTTGAAAAAATTTAGGTCATGTGATATATCATAAAAAAGGTCTCTAATAGGCCTTTAAAATAAGCCATCACTCACCTTTCTACTTTTAATAGTTTACGAGATATCGCTATTTTTGTAAGTACTTGCAAAACCCAAATTTATCGGATTTTCAAAAACAAATAAAACAAAAACCACCCATCAAAAAAAATTCATATATGGGATTTTTGAGTTTTTTAGTGAGGTAAACAAATTTAGCAAAAATTATCAAAATCGGAGATGGTTGGGGGAAGAACCTTTGGTTGATTTGATATGGACTGACCCATACTTTACAAATTATCTCTAAAACAAATCATTTTATCAAAATTTTATAAGAGACAAAATTTTTTTAACAATAAATGATTACCTGAAAAAATACCGTTTGGAAGTCATTGGCGCACGTACTAAAAATAGGGGGAGTCAGTAAGTACTGGACCCCCCTATTTTGATTATTTGACAATTGTTTTTTGCTTTGTTGGTCTCAAAAAATGTAACTATTTATGTTGAAGTAGTGTACCGAATTTGAACTTAATATCTTATCAATTACTCGAATTAATAAAAAAAATCAGTTTTAAATTTCAAACTTTGTCGCCCTGTATATCGAACATGAAGCTCTAAATTTAAAAATGGTATTATGAAAGTCTTATTGTTTTAACTCAAAGAATATATGGTTAACGGATTGACTTCCTTTTCCAGGACACCCTGTATATATATACAGGGTGTCCGGGAAAAGGAGGTCAATCCGTTAACCATATATTCCTTGAGTTAAAACAATAAGACTTTCATAATACCATTTTTCAATTTAGGCCTTCATGTTCGATATACAGGGCGACAAAGTTTGAAATTAAAAACTGATTTTTTTTTAATAATTTGAGTAATTGATAAGATACTAAGTTTAAATTCGGTACACTACTTCAACATAAATAGTTACATTTTTTGAGACCAACAAAACAAAAAACAATTGTCAAATAATCAAAATAGGGGGGTCCAGTACTCACTGACTCCCCCTATTTTTTAGTACGTGCGCCAATGACTTCCAAACAGAATTTTTTCAGGTAATCATTTATTGTTGAAAATGTTTTGTCTCTTATAAAATTTTGATAAAATGATTTGTTTTAGAGATAATTTGTAAAGTATGGGTCAGTCCATATCAAATTTTCAAAATTTAATTTTTTTTTTGAAAAAATGTAGGTCATGTGATATATCATAAAAAAGTTCTCTAATAGGCCTTTAAAATAAGCCATCACTCACCTTTCTACTTTTAATAGTTTACGAGATATCGCTATTTTTGTAAGTACTTGCAAGACCCAAATTTATCGGAATTTTTTGATTTTCAAAAATCAATAAAACAAAAACCACCTATCTAAAAAAATTCATATTTGGGATTTTTGAGTTTTTTAGTGAGGTAAACAAATTTACCAAAAATTATCAAAATCGGAGATGGTGGGGGAAGAACCTTTGGTTGATTTGATATGGACTGACCCATACTTTACAAATTATCTCTAAAACAAATCATTTTATCAAAATTTTATAAGAGACAAATTTTTTTTAACAATAAATGATTACCTGAAAAAATACCGTTTGGAAGTCATTGGCGCACGTACTAAAAAATAGGGGGAATCAGTGAGTACTGGACCCCCCTATTTTGATTATTTAACAATTGTTTTTTGTTTTGTTGGTCTCAAAAAATTTAACTATTTATGTTGAAGTAGTGTACCGAATTTAAACTTAATATCTTATCAATTACTCGAATTATTAAAAAAAAATCAGTTTTAAATTTCAAACTTTGTCGCCCTGTATATCGAACATGAAGCTCTAAATTGAAAAATGGTATTATGGAAGTCTTATTGTTTTAACTCAAGGAATATATGGTTAACGGATTGACCTCCTTTTCCCGGACACCCTGTATATATATATATATATATTTATATTTATATAATTTATCAACTACCTGGTAGTAGGTCCTACTATCAAAATTTAAGAATAATAATTATTATTGTGGTATGTCAATTTAGCAACTTCTAGACAGAATCAAATAATTTTGGTATCAAAATTTGAGAATTGTTGTATGTGAATAATTTTAATAAAATTTAAATTTTTGCTTAATGGAGTGAATAATTTTGTAGTTAACGTTATTTTATTTTAGTTGTAAAAAGGACCTAATTTAATAACTACCTAGTGTAATTAATTAAATATGGTATCAAAAATAAAGAAATATTATAAAAATGCGTCATAATTAATAAAACGGATATAAATTATTTATAAAATCGTTTGAAAATGGAAAAAATCTAAATTACTTAATTATTTTTAGGTTATATTTTATATAAATCAAATAAAATATTTCTTTCGGCAGGTTTTCTGTATACTAAATAATTTAAGTGTTATTTTCTTAGTTTTTTTACGGTACCATCATAGTGCGATTCCAATTGTTTGCTTATTTTATAAGATGATACGTTTTTATTAATAAATTATTTTTTTTCATGAAAAAAAAATATTTTTCTGTAAAGTTCAATACATTGTCTCAGAGGGTATTAAAAAACTAGGTAACCCTTAAATTTTTAATAATATCGATTAAAAACTAACGAAGTTATTTACTATTTTGTGCAGTAAAAATTTCGCGGCTCGAATGTGCAAAAATACGAAAATTGATTTGAGCGACCTCTAAATATTCATCGAATTTGGATTTTTTGGTATCAATATTTTAGTTTTAATGTAATCTTTATAATTTAGGCCAGTGCGGGTTCATTTTTAAAAAAAGGCTTTTTTTGAATCACCCTATTGTATAGGTTCTGAGTTGATAATAATTGTAATACCTTCTGTTTCTAAATACTGAAATTCAGCTATTATTTTTGAGAAAACCTTCTTGTTTCCAAACTCGGTTCTGTCTGTTGAATAGAAAAGTTGACATAAAAATATATTTTCTAATAAAGTTAGAAAATCTGGAGGGATGCATGCCAAAGACACGTATATAGCTCCAATTTTATATACTCCAGCTTTACTCCCTAAAGGATTGCAACACTCAAAATCATCATAATACATGAAAAGAGGAAAAACAATCTGGTTCTTTTTAAATTTGAATTTTCTTTTTTTCCAAAGTTTGCCCTGAAATATACTTGATAGCAAATTGGAGGATACAGACTCTTCAGTTTTCATAAAAGAAATTAATGTATCATAAACTTTGGGTAACTCTAAAAAACATTTAAAAGTGTAACGCAATGGAATGAATTGACAATGGGTTTTTTTAAAAACTAACTTAGGATCATCAGGGACATTTGATTTTTGTAAAGTATTACGTTCACCTAATGCAACTGCCTCTGGTTGAATGTAACTTTTAGAATTTTTAAAGAATTTTAGACGTAGATATTCAGTTTTAAGGGAAGAAAGCGTACTTTTAACGTCAACGAATACTTGAGAAAGCACTTTTTTCTTACTTAAGTCTAGATTTAAAGAGTCCATGGCATTATCCAAATATCCAAACAGTGATTCTAATAATTCTGTAATACTATTTATAACTATTTGAATTACGTTTCTTGGTAAAGAAGGATTATTGTATAACTGCCCTATTAGAGATAAAATTTAATTTGTCAAATCTAATTTTGTCTGTCTTTTATTGGATGTTGTCTCTGGAGCTGAAGGCGTATTACTATCATTTTGAACCAAAACATCATTTTTGTTTGCGTTGTCTATTTCTAAGATAGTTGTTGTTTGGTTATTGAACAACTGAAGTGTAGGGTTATGCGAGTTTAAATGTTTGTGAAAACTGGAGATAGTGGAAAAATTCCGAAAACAATTTATTTGCTTGCATTCAAATTTTTGTAAAAGGGCGTGCATTATTTTCATATGTTTAATTAGGTGGTCTGAATTTGGAAAAAATTTATTACATTTAAAACAGGTAAACAAATTTTCCATCTTCAGGAAGTCTGCACAGTAATTATACCCTTATAAATAGACTACCACTACCACAAAAATAGCAAACAGTTATAACTGTTTACCAACAGTTAATAGTTAACAATAGCTCGAGATAGGCTAGATATGTAACATCTACTTAAAGTAAGTCTTGAATGAAAGGAATGTTAATGTCATATTTTGTCTTAATTTGGTATATGACAGTCTGAATCAAAAACCAAATATGGTTACATTCAAAGGGATATTTTACTTCAAAAGTGTTGAAACTCTTAAAACAAAAATCAATAGCATCAATTACTGACAAAGTTTTGTAGATATTGTTATTAACTACAGCATATGCTGAATTAATATTAGCCAAACTAGCTCCTACTAAAATAATGTATGGTTGAATAGTCATACCCTTTCTGTACATACTATCAACCCTTTGGGCCTTGCATGTTTCGACTTCTCCAGGCGTTTTAACATGTAACAGAAGTCCATCTCTGCATTCACTGATAGATGGCTTCCAATGTTTTTTTTGAAGCCTAGTTCGTCCTTTTGGTGGAATCAACGACGGCAATAGGAAGAGCTTTAGAGCTACTTTCGAATCTGCATAGAATTAAAGTCGAAATTAAAACAAAATTAGTACTTACAAGAGAAAAAAACATTAGTTTTCATCTCATAAAAAATGTATTTTTTAAAACTAAGTATTAAAATAATTTTAAATAAAATGTATACAAATTATAATTTTTAATTATGAAAACAAGTTTGGTTAAAGTAATTTAAATAAATAACATTATTATGTTTTGATTTATATCTATAAATCATAATAGTTATTTATATAAACGTGCTTTTATGGCCTTCGACGTAATAACGCCAAAAAAGCTACTCCCGTAATACATACACAACTTTATGCGTGCACAGATGAAATTTTTTTATTTTAAAATTATTTTATGTATTAATGTTTAATTGCCAATTTATCCGTGCATAAAAAATATAAATGAAAATACGAAAAAAGGCGTTTTAAAATCTTGTTTGCAACACTTGAAATAACATTAGGTTACGCTTCCTTGGACAAAAGTCAAATGAGCAAGAGAACATTAGGTGAATAACTAACTATTAGCTTACCAGTAGTAAGGGTTTCATCATTCAGGAGGTCTAACAATGTTTGATCTGTGCCAGATAGGCGACTTCTTCGCTTTTCTAAAATGTTAAAGAAGTCGTCAAATCGTTGTTCCAAATTTTCGATGGGTTGATGTTCAGTATAAGTTTGAGTAAAATCAAACTACACCTAAAAGATATAAAATAATGAAAAATAAAATGCAAAGGGAAGAAACTAATAAGTGGTTTAACAGAATGATATTACCAATAATAAAATTTGTACTTACCAATTCAATGGCTATTTGATTTTCCAGGATGGACCATTCCGACAAAAAGGCTGTAAGATTTTCCTGTCGCTGAATTGAATTTTTTCTAATAGAAAAAGAATTTTTCCAGTGGTGCAGAATGTCATTGACTGGCTCCCGATTAGTTTGCAACCATATTTTACTGTCTATAGCACTTTGCGTAATTTCTGAAATTGAAAAAATCGAGATTTTAATTTTTACTCTAAAGTTGTATTTATTACATACCTTCATTCTGCACGTCAGGGCTTGGAGCCCGTATGGCTTCAAATTGTTGAGCTCGTCTGATGGCGGTGAGTTTGTTCCTATGCTTATCCACCAATTTTCCTTTGGCTATCTCGGGCCTGTTTAGTCGCGATCTCTTTTTAGGAATAGCATCAACAAAATATGTGGCTTTTTTTTCTGTTTGGAATATTAGTATAAGCTTGTCGGCAATCACAGAAAGAGCTTCATTCGTTAATTTGCAAGACTTATTTAAAAAATAAGTTACGATAATTTCACATAAATTGTTTCGCTCTCTGCTGTTTAGTGTCTTGCAATTATCATATTTTTTTAAGATTGCCTTTCCAATCGCATCGGCTTCCAATATATTTAATAAATTGCAATCGCTGATATTACCGACAAAACTTAAAAAAGATGAATTCAACCCGCAGTCACTATTGGCTAACTCTGTAAGGGTGGAGGATGTTGAGGTTATGGGGTTCGGGTTTTGACCATCATTAATTAAATAAACGACGGTTTCCTTATTAAATGGTCTTTTCCGATTTGGTTGTTCTGAAGATTCAACTGGGGTTAGAGATTGTTCTTCAGAGGCCTTAAAAATATGCTTATAATAATTAAATAATTAAATTTTAATGGTATACATACATCACCAATGATAGGAGAATTTACAATTAATTGCTTTAACCGAATTTGGTCCCCTATAGCAGGAATCAGTGTTTTTATTTGCTCGTCAGTGAGCAGGGATAATAACTCCACAGAATCAATGCGATGTTCTAAAAAACAGCTGACTTAAACCATTAATGGCCAAGCATGAAAAAAACCAACTTTTGGCTTTTTTACATTTTATTTATAATAAAAAAATACATACAATTAAAAAAAAATACGCTGGCCAGAATCGGTACATATAATATTAACTAAATATTATTTGTTTTTCATGAAATTTAAAAAAGGGGCAATTATTTTTAAGTTTAAAAACTCAATGTTTACGCTCTCATATCTTTTTAAATAATAAAGGTGGAATTTTTTTAACAATTTTCCGGGATACCTGGGGGTCTGTAGATGGGCCAGTTCAGGCATGCGGACGGAACAAATTACAAAACTATTTTTATAAAAAAAATTCTAGGTAATTTATTATATAATATTTTGGCATCAAAATTTTCAAATCTATTCTTTTTTTATTAGGCTATACATTAAATAATAAAACGCAAGAAATATTTTATAAAAGTAAAGATAATTGTTATAATTGACAGGTGTGGACGGGACAAGATAAATCTTTTTTTGTCCCGTCAACACCTTTTAATTATTACAATTATCTCTACATTTATAAAATATTTCTTGCGGTTTTTTTATTTAATGTATAGCATAATAAAAGAAGAATATTTTTGACAATTTTGATGCCAAAATATTATATAATAAATTATGTACATTTTTTTTATAAAAGTTTTCTAATTCGTGCGTTTCGCGCGCCTGAAATGGCCCAGATCTAACACCTTCAACGTGGTGCGCGACTTCTGGGGCACCCTGTATAAGTTCATATGATAAACAAAATATATCAAAAACTATTAAAAAAATGATAATAAAATGTTGCCATTAAAGGGTTAAACACCTACCATTATTTAAATAAAGTTAAAAAGTAAGTAAATATGGCGTGTGGTGTAGGTATCCAAAGTTGTCTGCTCACCATTCAATCTTCGTTATAATTGAAGCTACAAAGTCGGTTAAATTAGCAAATTCATGGCATTTTTTCTTCTGATTTAAATGGTGAAAACAAAAAATAATCAAACGTCGGGTTTCCGAAATATTCACTAAAATAATCATTTTTTAATGCGACACCCTGTATATTTTTAAAAATTTTAAGACAGTTTAATTTAAAACAAAAAAAAATATTCCATAACTAATCTGAATAATCTTTTTTTAATGCGACACCCTGTATATTTTAAAAAATTTTAAGACAGTTTAATTTAAAACAAAAAAAAATTATTCCATAACTACCCTGAACGTAATAGTATATTATGTATCAAGTTTGATAAACGCCATTTTAGACACGAATTTAATTTAGGCACTTTGCAAATATTGGCGTTAAAAAACTATTTAATGCTTTTGTATTTTTGTATTAAGATAATAAAATAATTTTCACATTTAGTAATGTTTCATAAGAAGGGCACTTTATTTTAACGATTGTAAGACATTTGACAACTGTCAAGTAACTTAAAGCAAACTTCAACCCGTGACTAAAAACCTGTTGCTAACTTTAGCCCGTGACTAAAACGCCATAAAGCCACAACTTGTCAATGTGTATTTAAAAGGTCACTTAGTGTCATGAAAACATGTACGATAATGGACGTTTTAAAGGTGGGAGTAGACAAAAATAATTAATTAATAGGCACTTTTGGATGTTGTTGAAATAACCAAATTATTACTATATTTTATTTTTATTTTATATATATATCAGTAAGTTCAAGTGCTTATTAATTGTTTATTTTTAAGTTTAGGGTAGTTATGCAATTTAAATAGTCTTACAAAATTAGTAAAAATACTAAACATATTTTAAAAATCCGACGTTCAATTGTGTTTCTGTTTTCACCATTTTAATCAGAAGAAAAAATGCCAACATCTTGCTATTTAACCGACTTTGTAGCTCCAATAATAGCAAAGTTAGCAAATAACTTTGTACACCCAGTATATTTTGTGATGCAAAAAATGTAAAAAAATGGCGGGATTCAGGCATAATAATTGATGTATTAAAAAATTGATTTAATGATGGTCACCTATAGATCTACTTATAGGTACATATTTATATGTATGTACACGGTTGAAAATTTTTATGTATTTTTAACATATTTCTTGTGTCCCAGAAAGTCCACTCAAATTTTTTTAGTTGAATTGACTTATTCCACTTATGTTAATTGATTACACAACATAATATGTAAAAAAAGTGAATATAACTTTTCTTTTTTACATAACTGCAAAGTTAATTTAACAAACAGGTTTATGCTATTTTTATTAAAATAAAATTGTTGTTTTAACATAAACTAATAGTTAATTTGATTTTAAATCTTTATAATTTTGACATAATTAAAAATGTTAAATTTATTTACACAAAAAAGTGTTACTTTAAATTTTTGTTGATTTTACACTAATAATTTGTCCTTATAACATATATTAATTTGTTGTTTTAACAATAATTTTAATTAACTTTTACAAAAATAATTGTGTTTTTTCATTTTACGGCCATTCCGGAAAAAAACGTGACGTCTGTTACTGTTTAAGCCAATATCTTGAGAAAAGCTTTTTTCATAAAAAACAAGGTGCATTTATGAAAAAAGCTTTTCTCAAGATATTGGCTTAAACAGTAACGGACGTTACGTTTTTTCCGAAATGACCTTAAAATGAAAAAACAATTATTTTTGTAAAATTTAATTAAAATAATTGTTAAAACAAATTAATATATGTAATATACTGTACGTAAAATTTTAACAAATAATCGCCGTTTGGTAAAACACTTATAAATTAATAAAAAAAAATTGGACAAAAAATAAAACAATTATATAAAATAGGAACATTTTTATTTATTAAAAATAAAACGTAACATTAATATAATATAAATATACCTTTAAATTTAGTTTAACAAATTAACACACCACAGATCACACCCTACGTACTCATCAAGCGACTGCTTTGACTGTCGAAGTTCGACTGTCGAACTTCGACAGGCTTCGAGAACAAAAGGCCTTGCGGGGGGGTACCGGTCTTAATCGAAAGCAGGCGGTAATTAACGAATAAAGAAAACAACATAAATATTTTATTTACTTTAACGAAAAAATAGTAATCAGTTGTTTAAATTTGAATAAAAAAAATTGTATCTCCAAATTTAACATATATTTTTAAGTTAGATTAACACTTGTTAAAGAGTCATTATAACTAATGTATTTTTATTATATTATATATTTTATTATGAAATATTAACATATTTTTTTTGTAATATTAACTATATTATTATATTAAAATTTACAGAAAATAATTATTTAACATTATTTTTTGTGTAAGACCTTTTAACAAATTTATTTTTGTTAAATTTTAAAATTTTGATTATTTTAATTTGTATATCAAGTAACATATATTGTTTATGTCATAAACATTAAAAAGTTTATGTAAATTTTTACATATTTTATTTAACACACATTATTTTTAACACACATTTTATAAATTTTCAACAGTGTACTTACCTGTTAACGCTGGCAGCAAATACTCCAAGTTGGATGATTTTAGGAACACATCCATTTTTATATTAAATTAATAAACTAAACTAAATACAGCCGCACTATCCAGACCAAAATGGCAATGACAATGTTACAATGCAACAAGCTTCCCGAAAGTGGTTAGAACAAGAAGCTTACATTTGATTGGTTTAATTTAATCACGCGATCCTTACTTTAAATAAATATTTATTTGATTCAATTTGATCTATTTAGAAGTAAAATAAATGTTTGTTTCATATGAAATGTTTTACACTTTTGGTGTATTAATGAAATTGTTTATTGATGTAAATAAACATTTTTGTTTTAGCGAATTAATACTTTTTTAAAGAAATATTTCTTTGCGTTGACTATTTATCACATGCTAAATCCAAAGATATTAAAAAAAATATTCAAACAAAGCAGTTTCATTAAAGGAAAAATACAGATTTTAATTTTAATAATTTTGTTTTGTCACAAATAAATTAATTTCAAATAAACCCATTTTGTTAAATCAAGTAATCCTTTTTCTCTGTGTGTATTCTTCCATGAACAAATCTTCAGAAGTTTCCTCGTGATCAGGAATTGTTAAAATGTCCTGCATTCTTATGGGGTTTATTTAAATGAACTGTTTCGGCTCAATTCGAATGAATTTTAATAGATTCTAGAGGGTTCGATCTAAACTGCACAATTGTTTTACAACTAATTAAAGAACAACTAATTAAAGAACAAATGCAACCGCCTATCTATGAACGCCACCCATGGGTGTCTATGCATAGACAAAGGAAAGCCACCAATATTCAATTTAACGGCTTTCAAATTAATTCTCATTTGAACGCATTTCAGTTTTTCCGTCGGGGTATTTCTTTTGACGCTTAGATCTGCCCAAAGAATACTTATATTCCTAACGTGGTAATAAATGTGTAGCTTCTTTTTCAAATAAATTGATCTCGGAAAGAGGAAACATTCGCTATTAGCCCTTTCAATATGTTTTTCTCAAATGGTTTTTGGAGTATTTTAGAAGATTCGCCAAAAAGCCTTAAAATTGTATTCCAGAAGGTGGCCATTACAAGAGTCATCAATTTTTTAGAAAGTCCTTCGGCTTCTAATTTTGTGTCCTCTTTTTCTGTAGGATCATTTGACACCATTTTTAAGCATTCGTTTATTTGGACATAGCTCGTTACTAATGCTTTCGCCGCATTTTCTCTACAACTCCAACGAGTGGTGATTTGACACTAAGGTTTTTGCCAATATGATTTAACAGCAAATGCCATCGATGTGTGGAGGCTACAGTAAAGTAGCATACAATTTTTGTAAAAAATTAAAAAACTTTGTGGCATCAACTCAGTTTTTTGTA